CTACCCTCGTCACCCCTACCCTCCCCACCTATGCTCCCCTCGCCTACCCTTCTCACCCCCACACTCTTCACATACCCCCTTCCTCACCTACTACCCTTTTCACCTACCCTCCCCACCTTTACCGTCCTCACCCTTACCTACCTCACCCACCCTCCTCAGCCCTACCCTCCTAAACCTACATGTACCCTCGTCATCCCTCCCCACTCCACCACAACATTTGCCTGGAATGTGCTAGAAATTCTTCAATTTTGTTAAGTTTTCTCATTATTACTTGTTTGTTGAGCATTGCTATTTGTTGATTTAGGCAATGAGTCTACTTGTATGTCTGTGAAGCCCTTGTTATCTTACAAAGGGAGAATGTTTTCTTGACTTTTGGCTTAAAAAATATTTCCTGAAATTGTGGGTTTGGGCTTAGCAATCCTGGCCTGAGGTGGTCAATCAGAATAGCTGTTATTGCAGTTGAGTCTGCGGTCAAATATCTTTTTGTTTTGAAAGGCATGGAAACGAGGCGAAAGGGTCAATACAATGCAGAATTGTCCCTTTTGCCTCGTTTGTGTGTCAAGCCGCTGATAACTGCAATGACAGGTATTGCTTTTTTTAAACTGTAGTAAGTTTATACATTCATAAGAATATTATTTACGTGTAGTGTAGTTTTTTTCTATTTTCAATATATATATGTAACAGTATGCAAGTTTATATATGTACTCAGAACTGTTCTTAGTGTTTGTGTACTGCTTGACTGTAACATGTCTTTTGTTTACTTGTCCATTTAGATTAACCATTTTCCAGGCTCTGGATATATAACAAACAAAGTTAGCCTGGCTGTGAACCATTTTCAATTTATTCCTCCAGCATTTGTGATTCCAAAGGACACTCAGAAGTTTTTAGAAGAAGTAAGTCAACTGATATGAATGTCAAATTTACATTTTATATGTGAATTCCATTGATTGCATTCTTGAAGTTCCATTTATTTAGTGTGTTTCCAGTTAGATTTCTTGAGACATTATCTTGATAATTTACAGGTGAAAAATCACCCTCAAAAATTGTGGGTGGAAAAGAGTAATAATCATAGAGGAATACACATCAAATTGCCAAAAGGTATGTGGCAATATTTATTAACTTCCTGATCATAATGTTTTAAAAGTTTGTTCCAGTTCAGCCGGAACAGTCTAACATTGTCCAAGTTAGCAATTGTATCTTTCTCCTGATTCTTTTTAGCTTTGCACACTTCTTACGTACAGTGTGCTAATTACATGTATGTACCTTGAAATTAAAGTACAGCAAGTGAAAAAGTCAGAAATTAAAATTGGTTTTCTTGACAAAAGGTTAGCTGTAACTCAGTATGCTTGACTAAGTGTATACATATGGCATTCATGTGTGAACTTTATTTATAATGCTGCAAGTATCAGTACAAATACCAATACTCATCAACAATAACTCTGATTTCTGTCAGAATTACATCTACAGTAGCCGATTGTACAACCTAAGAACACTGACCAAAATGCCAGATTTGTATTTAATTCTTGGTGAAGTCACCGTGGTTGTTTTAATTAGAAGGAAGAGGAAGATATTAATAACTGCACACAAATGAGGCAGTCAACAATATTTTTTTATACCTTGTTCGCTCATATTTGTGTGCTTCGTCTGTGTCCTATCATTTGTTAGTGTCAGTTAACCCTTGGTGCAGTCATGTCCTTTTCATATTGATCATGCTATCGACTCTGTAGTAATTTATTGAATTTGATTGCCAACAAGGATGGTTTTTCTTTCTTTTGACTACATGTATTTTGTTTCACAGATATTGATCTCAGCAAGGGATCTGATCAGAATTTTGTCCAGGAGTACATTGCTAACCCATTTCTTGTTGATGAACGAAAGTTTGACATTGGCATTTACACAGTCCTTACATCCATTGATCCTCTCAGAGTTTATGTTTATGACCAGGAAGTTCTCATCAGGTAATGTTATTTAATAAAATTGAATACAGTAATGAATGCATGTCTCATGATTGAATCTTAAATAGTGACCAAGGTGTATGAATACACAGTCAAGCAAACTCTTGTTGACAATTAAACAATTTTAATTGATGGGAGGCCATTCATCTATGACTGACCCATTTAGTGCTGCAAATGACTTGTCAATTCAGTTTTCTAATTGACCCTTTAATTGCACCGTTTCCTTAAGTTGGTATCTACATAACTTTGTGCAATGCGCTTACAGTACAAAAAAACAGTACATGTTTAAAAATTTAGATTACCAGCGAATATTTGACACTTTTAAGAGCCTTTTGAACCTTATATCTAATTTATCAACAGTGTCACACATCTTATGAGTTTTTTGCTCATTCCCACTAAATTTGATGTTTAAAAATGACCTGCTTAAAGACAGGCACTGTGACTTAAACATGTGCTGCAGCAGATCATGAACCTCCAGACCTGACATAATGAGATGCTTGCCATGGTGAACATCCAAATTTATATTATAAGGCAACATTCCATTTCCATGACCAGATGAAAGTATACATAGTCTTTTTACTAAATCCTCAGATATTGTCAGAAGGACTATTACCCTTTTGACCCAAATGATGAACAGAAGTACGTCGTGGAAGATTCATACACCCAGCCATGGGAGGTACAGTGTTAAATTAATACTTGTCATACACCTGACAGGAATTCTTAATTCCTTCTTTCTCCTCCTTCCTAATGTACTTGTATTTTCACTGTAATGGTCTAACCCTTCCCATGTCACTTTGGTTTGAAAAATTGGGTTGATTGTGTACATTGTAGAAATGACTTTATGGAATACCTGACTTCCTGAACTGTATTATGAAATATCTCAGTCTGCAATATGTGGAATGATAGACTCTCTAGAGATTATGATTCGGGAATGCATTTATCAGGTCTCATCTAACCTCTGTAAACTGATTTATTTTTACAAGCTTTTCTAAGGCTCATCTCTCTTTATTGAATGGGATATTGGGAAATACAATGCACTGAATGTAGCATACTGTAAGGATTTATGTTTATTCTTTCAAATTTAACTATAAATATGAATTGAAGCCCCTTCCCAGCCCCTATTGAATTGCAATGTGAGTTGTTGTTGTTCTTTTTGGGGACATTTTTTGTTACTCAACTCTTCAGTTGCCATCTCTGAGGGAATTATGGCATAATGGAAAGTTCAGCCGCAAGATGCTGCTTAACGCCTATCTGCAACAGCAAGGTACACATGGATCTTTGTAATCATGTCAGTGTTATAGTTTTTGTCAAGTTCAAGTGTCACCTCGGGGGACAGAGACCAATTTAAAGTGATAGGGTTAAAAAATCAGGGCAGTGCAATGAAACATTAGGGGCCCGGCCGTCCTAACATTTATTGTGTACTCCGGAGCTCTAAATTAAGAGCAGCCCAAGCAAAAGAGTGGTGCAAGGGAGTAGCTAGGGTGGGGTCCTGGGGTGCCCATGACCCCTGCCTTTGTAAGCCTTTTTTAAGCAAACAACTTACAACAGGCGAAAGCGACATGACAACCTTGTGAGTACCCTCACTTTTACAGAGTGTGACCCCCCTTTGAAAAATCCTGGCTAAGCCCCTGANCCCCAATTGAAAAATCCTGGCTACACTCCTGTGGTGCTCTATCAGTCCCTCCCCCTCCCTGTTCTGTGATTGGGAAATGTGTGCATGTACCTCAGGAGATGATTAATTTATTACTAGAGCATCTTTGAAGTCCCACCTCTGAGGAATATCTTTGTTCTTCATAGGTAAAGATGTAGATAAGATGTGGAATGATGTTTACAGGGCCATTGCTGAGGTAAAGCCTCTATTTCTAACTTGCTTGTTTTAAAGTCTTGCTAATCTAGCAGTACTTCTAATTACTTTAAAGTTTAATTGAACAGCACTATGACCCTATGCACCAAAAACCATGAAGGTAAGCGTAGGGATTGTCACAAGTGGTTCGGTTTTGTATCTTAAAATACACCTGATTGGTCAGAACATGTTCCACTAATTTAATTAACCAATTACAGAGCTCAAATGGCAGAAAACCTAGTAAACAAATGTTTACTTAATAGGTTTTCAAATTTGATTGAAATTCATTTATAGTAACTTTTAGAAACAGACATGACACAGTATACAATCAGTTGGACAAATACTGAGCATCAACGGTTGGAAATTGAAATTGTTCTTTTTTTTTTTAAAAAAAAAATGTTATTGTGTCAATGAGTTATTGCTAAGAATGTAAATTCATACATTTTTATTTTTGTTATTTTCCAGGTTTATTTAAGAAAGGAACCAGACCTTATTAGTGCATCCTCAAGCTACAAATCCACCAGGTAACGCTTCCTTTTATTCTCAATTAATGCAGTAGAATTATGTGTTTCTGTAATTCAGCATTCCTTCAATATGTCTCCGTTAGTGAGCATCCTCTTTACTTTAATTCTGCAAATGCTCAATATATACCTGATAGTCAGAATAGGCCATTAAAGGATAGTGGCTTTTCATGACTTAAACACGGCTTGTTATCTTTGTCAATCGCGTTTTCTCATCGGTGCTGTCACTTCTTCCCTATGTTCAGAAACTTCTTTGAGATGGTGCGTTTTGATTTCATATTGGACTCGGACTTGAAAGTCTGGCTCATGGAGGTAACTGATTTTATTCATCATCTTGTAGGCAGTCGCTAGTAGTTGTAAGACAAAATATTTTTTACAGCTGTTCAACTATAACTAAGAGCCAATCACAATGGCAGTAGGAACTCGTGTCTTCGAACTTGAAAGCAGAAGCGTTAACTCGGTGGAAAGCGCGGGAAAAGTGCGCTGAGTCGAGCCAGTAGTAGCCTGACTAAACAACTTCTCGCTTTGATTGGCTAGCACAAGTTGAAAAGCAAGGAAACTAAGCTACTGACGCCGATGGCAGAGAATATATGTACAGGAAGGTAATTGAAAAAAAAAAAAATAATTAGAGTGAACATAACCTATTTCAATGGACGGTCAGCGGGAAGAACTCGTTCATATGCAAGGAGTTGTTAAACCGATAAACATCTAATCAAGACTCATGAAAATTTCTCTTTTGCTGATTACTGCTCTTTCAGTGCTATTGAACTTAGGAAACCAATAACACATTACCAACTAACTGATGTAGCAACCAACCAACTATACATGTATGAGTGCCTGATTGAAAGGAAGCATACGTAAATGCGGTCGTTTTGTGCAGTTCATATATGTAAAAATTGTTAATGTCACATGACGTTCTCTGTAGGTGAATATGTCTCCTAATCTGTCGTCAGCAGCGCATTCAGATAATAAACTGATGTACGAACAGGTCAGTAAAAATATCAATGAATATCTCTAATGACTTACGAAAATTCAGTAAATACCTCTGGTAATTTATGAAACTAAAAAGGTCAGCAAATATCCCTAGTGACGTATAAAAGATCAGCAGAAATCTCTAAACGTAAACACATCAATAATAATGTCTCTAGTGACTTACGAAAGGTCAGTAACTATTCTCAGTATGTTACTGACCCAAAGTTGATGAAAAGCATAAAAAGGCTGATGTTTTGACCGCTATCCCAAGTCCTTCATATCGTGACAGAAGCATTCCCAAGGTGCCTCTGGCGACAACAGGTTACTGACAGTATTACCTCTTGAATCAACTTGTGCAGAAATGCTTTTCTTGATTTGTCGATGTTTTCCTTCCTTAGGTTGTATTCAACCTTCTTGGTTTAGTAGGAGTAGCAACTAAACTGGATCATAGCTTGAAGTACAGGTAAGACAGATCATCTGCAATCGATTCTGTGAGTATGAAAGCTGGTAATGGGCTACAAGCCTACGCTAGTTCGTCTGTCGCGCAGCCCGGCATTTTCTTGTTCTTGGTCCTTTTTCGCTTCTCGCTTGACAAAGGGTAAAGAGGATCTGCTAAGATTCTCATTATAGAATTTCTGAAGTGATTTGTTTGTTTGCTTTTAAGTTCGCCATCTGAAAAAGAAATGCTAGTAAACGATCAAGACATCCAAGTGTTGTACGAAACCTGTTCAAGTAAGGAATGCACCAAGGCCTGTATCAAAGAGGTGGGTTTCAAGGTTGTGTGATTATTTGTTGTCGTCGTTCGTTCTTAGATCAGTCAGTTGTCTTCAGCCTCTTCTCGTTTCACGAATTATTTAAGTTTTGTCGCTGACAATCAGACATACATACAATGAATTGCTTATAGAGGTGTTACACATTGTGTTTTTGTTTTCTTAGATCTGCCGTCTGTGTTATCCTTGTCTTAGAGAGAATGAACGTGAATTTATTAAAGCCGCGTATTTAGAGCACATTCACAGAGGAAACTTCCGCAGAGTGTACCCTCCTGCCATGGTAAATATTTCTATTTATATCTTTGTATTAGTAGAGCAATTAAAGGGTGGACCATTTGACCTTTTAGGGGGGGAGTGGAGGGTCGGTGATATGGCATAGTCGTGAATTTCTTTTTGAAACCTTTCGTGTACCAAGGAAATCACCTCCCCCCCTCCCTCAAAAGTCAGAAGGTCCACCCATAAGTTGAGTTTCCATGACATAGCTGGTGAGAAATGTTAATATTTGTCACTATTTGTTGTTTACAGACTCAAACAGGAGAAGCGAAGAAAGACAGTCCTCAATTAAGTCTTAGTTCTTCTAATCAATTAATGTTTCAGTGGTTTCAAGCCATGTGTCTACAAGACATCACGTGGTGCGCTTAACTTGTTAGCTTTCAGTTGTAATCTCTAGCAGAATTTAAATAATTCAATAATTGCCGTTTTGTATTTAATGCACATTCGATCCTCATGGTTAGAAGTATCGATATTTCTGAAAATTTCAGCGTTAGGTAATTTTTGTGTCAAAGGATTATTTCAACTTGAAAGCGATTCGTACTCTTCCAAAATGGCTTCCTCCACGGGGTGACATTGGGAATCAATGACTCCATATCAAGCTACTCGCCTGAACTTGTTAAACTTGCCCCACTTGATGGACGCTGTTGTGGAATACTGTTTTGTAATAGTGGGTGGATCATCCACCGTTGTAATAACTAACTTATGTTCTGGTCAATTGAGAAAATATTTATCCATGTTTATCCTCAGTAGCAACATAATCGTTCCATTTTTACTGTGAAGGTATTTGTACCGTGAAGGTCTATGCTTCCTTGAAGCTGGACGTGATTTGCAAGTTTCAGTTTAATTTTTGTACAAAAAATAAGTGTAAATACGCTACCAGTAACCTAATATTTCGTTAGATCAATCTTCTATTCCAATGACGGTCTCTTACGTGAATTTACTGTAGTTCAGTTCATGTTGTTTAACCATAGAGCCAAGTGGAGAAAAGGCGTGAAAGTGGCGTCAACCAATAAGAATTAGTTTCTATTTTCAATCACCGCATAGGCCAATCAGATGTAGCGGTAAAATCTGTCACAAATGTAACGTGATTTCAGGAGTATACACCGTAACACGTATATTTTCTCATGCAGCGGTTGGCATTTTTACTATATTTCAAGGGTAGAAGTGAGATAAAAAGTAAAAACTTAAAAAACAAAGAAAGTAAAAGTAAGTATGTAGCCTTTAATTTACTTTACCAGTGCGATCGCTTTGCACTTAAAACCTTACACTGATATAGCAGTTTAAACAGATGTTATGTTTGTAGATTTTGTTGTTTCAATTTTCGTTAATACAAACCAAGAAAAAATTATATTTAAACTTTCTAACTAGTGTTGAGATTTTCCACCTATTTACGATATTTACAATTTCAAAATATGTATTACGACGGTTCGTTTCGATACGAACATACACAATAAATGGCTGAATTATATCTCATAAGTCTCTTGAAGTCATTGATTTTCGTTACCCCCACATCTCTTTCAGTTAAACAGTATTCACCGTACGAATAAAATCCAATCATGGGACTATTGGTAAATCCTTCTTTAAAGGCTGTTTGCGAGCTAGAGTAGAAGGCTTGTCCTTTGTGAACGAACCGTGACGTGAACAGGAGCGAAAACTTAGGTGTGAAACCGTGTCTGCTAGCGTCTTCGATGAGTTGTTGAGCCGGCGAGTAAAAGTCAGCGTTGTTGCCGTTATTTAATAGTCCTGCGCATGCACGGAATCGTTGACCGGAAATAAACACTGCGACAACCCTTGCTCTCTTCACCAGTCCATCAATAAACAAACGGTCGTGCCCTACGCCACCAAAAACAACCACTTGTTCCCCGTATGTCTCACGGATTCCTGTATTGTAAACCAAAGGTCGGAAAACGTTAAGGCATATTAAGGTATTTTAAAAGAGGACAAGATCAGGTTAAAATTGCAATACCTGCAGCTATGAAAGGTATAAAATCTCTACTCGCCGACAATGCGATCAGAATAACTAACTTCACTGGAGCGTTGGCGGGTAAATCAAACATGTCACACCAGCGGCTTTCCGGGGGAGGTCTTGGAGTGCGAAGATAAACATGATGGTACTCTACACCTGGCATATATGGCGCGCACATGAATGCGTGCCCAGTCTTGAGATGATGCATATGATCTGGGGTAAACTGGTCAATGGGTTGCTGAAACACTATACGCTCAGTGGTACAGCCCAACGTGACACATCCCGGCGGCAGCTTGGAAAATAAATTGAACACGGATCGTACCAGCTGTCGTTCTTCGTTCCTGCGCCTTCGAGGTTCTCTTCTCGTGAACCAGATCTCACGGTGGCTTAACTGAATAACCATCCGAGGCTCGGTATACATGTTCTCAATGACACTGTCGATTTCGTTGCCAGTTATTAGCTTGTCAGCCAGGTAGTGCACGCTCCACGTTGTGCGTGAATGAAGAATCTGCATGGAAATGTGTCTCCACATTCTGCTCACTCGCGCCGTTGTCCGTAGCTCCCTAGCCGGGAGATATCTCAAAATCATGTCCACTACTTC